TTATGAACAAGATGGCCCTCTTCCTCAACAGAATTATCAAAACCAGAAAAATTAAGTGACATCATACTATTATCTAACCCACAGATCTTTATTTAAATTTTATTAATTGTGCCAATAATGTCTTCACAACTATATTTTTCCTGGTGTAGGATTCAGTCTAGTATCATACTTTCATTCAGTTGTCATGTCTCTATTGTCTCCTTTAATTTGGAATAGTTTCTCAGTCTGTCGTTTTTTTAAATATATTTTTATTGATTTCAGAGAAGAAGGGAGAGGGAGATAGAAACATCAATGATGAGAGAATCATTGATTGGCTGCCTCCTGCAGGCCCCCCTACTGGGGACGGAGCCTGCATCATGATGGATAAAGACAGACTGAGGCCCTAGCTGGTTTGGCTCAGTGGACAGAGTGACCTGCGGACGGAAGGGTCCCGGGTTCAATTCTGGTCAGGGGCACATGCTCGGGTTGTGAGCTTGATCCCTAAAAAACAGAGTGGGTGGGGAGAAGAAAGAAGCCAGGGGTTCTGGCTGAGTCACACCACGGCACTAGAAATTGGAAGTGAAGGAAAGGGCTTGACCTTGAGATAAGGACAACTAGTCTTCTAGGCCAGTGATTCTCCAACTAGACTGATCATCAAAGTCCTCCATGGAATCCATCCAGGCTTATGAAATCAGATTATTTAGAAGGATTTCAGGAGGAATAGCTGAGAATCTATACTAATAAAAGGGAAATATGCTAATTAGGACGGACGTCTTACGGACATCCTTCCAGATGTCCTTATGGACAAAGCCGCAGCAGCTGCCTGAGGCTCAGGCAAGCCACGGATGGTGGCTGCCACTGCAGGGGCCCGAGGCTCAGGCAACGAGGGCCAGGCCAAGGCTCAGACAGCCACGATAGCCGGCAGTGGCTGCAGCAGAGGCATGATGGAGGCGTCGCCTTCCCCTAATCAGCCCGGTCACCTCCTGCAGGGAGAGGCCAGCCAAGAGTAGGACATCCCCTGAGGGCTCCCAGACTGTGAGGGGGGGCAGGCCAAGCTAAGGGACCCCCCCCCCCCGCCGCCAGCATACAAATTTTCATGCACCAGGCCTCTAGTCTGTATATATAAATATATATAGTTACCCCCAGATGTTCCTGATGTTCAATCAAGTTTGAAAAACATGCTTTTTAGCCCCACACTGGGGATCGAGCCTGCAACCTGGGCATATGCCCTGACTGGAAATCTAACCACTCATAGGTCAACACTCAACCTGATGTTCTCAAGTTTGAAAAACATGCTTTTTAGCCCCACACTGGGGATCGAGCCTGCAACCTGGGCATATGCCCTGACTGGAAATCTAACCACTCATAGGTCAACACTCAACCACTGAGCAACGCTGGCTGAGCAGAAAACATGCTTTTTAATTTTATACTTGACTAGAGGCCCAGTGCACGAATTCATACACCAGTGGCGTCCCTCAGCCTGGCCTGCGGGATCTGGCCAAAACCAGCTCTCCGACATCCCCTGAGGGGTTCCGGATTTTGAGAGGGTGCAGGTCAGGCCAAGGCACCCCACAGGCTGGGGAGGGACATGGGAGGTTGGCCAGCCAGGGAGGGACCACGGGAGGGCTCAAGAGCATGTCTGGCCCATCTCTCTCAGTCCTGATTGGCTGGACCCCAGCAGCAAGCTAACCTACCAATAGGAGCGTCTGCCCCCTGGTGGTCAGTGAAAGTCATAGTGACTGGTCGACCGGTCAACTGCCTGCCCCGTGCTGGTCAGTGCACACCATAGCGAGCAGTTGAGTAGCATATTACGCTTTGATTGGTTGAACGAATGACCGGACAACTGGACACTTAGCATATTAGACTTTTATTATATAGGACTAGAGGCCCGGTGCACAAAATTCATGCATGGGGGTGAGGGGTGGTCTCTCAGGCTGGCCTGCACCCTCTCACAATCCAGAACCCCTCGGGGGATGTCTGACTGCTGGTTTAGGACCGATTCCACTGTGGGATCAAGCCTAAACCAGCAGTCAGACATTCCTCTTACAATCCAGGACCGCTGGCTCTTAACCACTTGCCTGCCTAATCACCCCTAACTGCCTCTGCCTGCCTGCCTACCTGAGCACCCCTAACCACTCACCTGCCTGCTTGATCTCCCCTAACTGCCTCTGCCTGCTTGCCTGATCACCCCTAACTGCTCACCTGCCTGCCTGATCACCCCTAACCACTCTGCCTGCCTGCCTGATTACCCCTAACCACTCGCCTGCCTGCCTGATCGCCCCTAACCACTCTGACTGCCTGCCTCACTGCCCCTCACTGCTCGCCTGCCTGCCTGATCACCCCGAACCGCCTCTGCCTCGGCCCCTGCCACAGTGGCTTTGTCCAGAAGGATGTCTGGAATAACGTCCAGTAGGTCATTCAGCTGTCCAGTCTAATTAGCATATTACGCTTTTATTATTATAGATTATAAGTGTGACCAGACTTGGAATCATAGATACATAAGAAGCAGTTTATGGCTGTATAAAAAATGTGACTCCATATATGCTCTACCTGGAGCTCAGACTGGAGGAAGAGAGAGCAAGAACTCTTGGGTTGCATTTAGATGCCAAAATTCTAAATTGGATTTTATAAACATTGAAAAATCAAATTGCTATAACAGTAGTAGTAGATGGCCACTAGTATAAGGGCATCTTTCCTGTATTATATGGTAAAAAATGTATTGATATAGCTTTTATTTCTATTATAAATCACCTCCATCTTGGGCAAGTCCCTGTGCTGGTCTAATTTGAATCCCAGTAACATTTGACATAGATGACCACTGGCTTCTTCCAAAACCCTTTCTTCTCTTGGCTTTCTATGTTTGTTTATTTTGCTTTATTCCTACTTCTCAGGCTCTTCCTCTTCTACTCAACCTCTAAAGTCAAGGATTTTGTCTTGTGCTATCTTCTTTTTCTGGACAACCTTATTTATTAATTATTGTATTTTCCATATGAATAACTGTAAACCTACTTTTGCCCACTCTGGTATATTAAATATTTCCACATATTATATTAAGAATTTCCAGCCCTGGTCTCTACCCTGGGTTTGAACTTGCATGGCCAACAGTGTATTTAACACCTCCACTTGAATTTTTTTTTAATTTATTGATTAAGAGAGAGAGAGATAGAGAGATTTATTGTTCCACTTATTTATACATTCATTGTTGCTTCTTGGTTTGCCCTAATGTGAAATCGAACCACTTTGGCATATCAAGATGATACTCTGACTGAGGCCTCCACTTGAATTTCTCATGAGTCTTTGAACACCTGCTCCTCCCTCATCTTTCTCTCCATTAATGATACCACCACCTCCAGATGCTCAGGACAGAACCGTGACTCTTCCTTTCCCCTCATCTTATCTATCTAATCCCTCAGCCAAACCTGTCAGCTCCATCTCTAAAACACTGGATTCCCACTGCCTCCTATGATAACCACTTGCACAACCTTGGTAGAAACCACCTTCATCTCTCATCTCTCCCAAATGATATTCCCCTCTGATTCCTCTACAGCCCAATCTCCATACTGTGGCCAAAGAGAAAACTTTTATTCCCCTTCTCTTCTTTTTTTTTTTTAAATTTTATTCAAAACTGATTTGAGAGAGAGAGGAAGGGAGAGGGAGAGAGAGGTAGAAATATTGATGGGGTGCAAGGGCTTCCAGACCATGTATGCGCACCCTTCTGTGTAGAAATAAAGATGTTTGCCTTGCAAAAAAAAAGAAAAGAAAAGAAAAGAAATATTGATGGGCTGCCTTCTGCTGGGGGCTGATCCTGCAACTCGGTCATGTGCCCTGACCGGGAATCAAACTGGCGACCTCTCAGTGTATGAGACGAAGCTCAACCAACTGAGCCACACTGGCCAGAGCCCCCTTCTCTTCTTTTAAATGTAAATACGATCATGTCTTACCATCCAAATTAATTCCCTTTACAATTAGAAAATCAAACTCCTTAGAATGGGACTCACCCATAGCATCTGCTATTCCCAATCATGCCTGCCCATTAGAATCACTTGTGGGTGAATTTTAAAAATAAAATAAAATAAAACCATGCCCAAACCCCATATCAGACCAATTAAATCAGAATTCCTGAGGTTGGCTTCCTGGGATTGGTTTGAAACCCCTCAGGTGATTCTCGTGTGCAGTGATGTTTGAGAACCACAGTTCTCCATGGTCTGGCCCCAGTCTACTTCTCGCACCCCATCTCTTACCTTGCTCTCCACACCAGCCTCCTTGCAATCCCTTTTCTGTACTTGCTATTACTGCTGCCAAGATCTTTACAGGGTTGACTTCTGTTCATCTTGAAGGCTCAATTCAAATGTCATATTTTTAAGGAAGCCTTCTCTTATTACCCTGAATTAGAATACTGTCCTTCCTTCATGGCCATTCTCTATCCCAGTGGTTCTCAAACTTGAGTGTGTAGAAGAAAAAGGGCTAATTAAAACAGACTAGTGGGTCCACTTCCCAAGTCACTAATTCAGTAGACCTGGGGAGGGGCCTGAAAATTTGCATTTCTTTTTTTTTTTAATTTTTTTTTTTATTGATTTCAGAGAGGGAGGAAGGAAAAGGAAGAGAGAGATAGAAACATCATGATGAGAGAGAATCATTGATCAGCCGCCTCCTGCACGCACCCTCCCCTCCTCTACTGGGGACCGAGCCTACAACCCGGGCATGTGCCTGCTCCTGACCGAAATTGAACCCAGGACCCTTCAGTCCGATGCTCTACCCACTGTTCCAAACCAGCCAGGGCTGAAAATTTGCTCCCACGTGATATTCATGCTACTGGTCTGTGAGGTCCACATTTTGAAAACCACTGCTCTATTCCATTACCCAGTGTTATCTTTTTCATTATATTTATCCCAACTTAAAATGTTTTGTTTATTTACATATTTATTATCTGCCTACCCCCACCCCCAATAAAATATAAGTTCCATGAGTACAGGAGGCTTTCTTATCAAACACAGTGTCTCAGCTCTGAAACAGTTCCTGGCACATGGTGAAAGGCTGAGAAACACTACCTTAAAATATTTCATGGGAAACATTAAAAAGGCAGTAGGTATTCAGTACCCTGAAGATTTTCCTTAGAAGTTACCTGGGGTGGATTTCTGGGTGGTCTAGAAACCGATTCTTCACGGTAAGGGGGCCTTTCTAGGTGGCTGTCTGAAAAGTAAAGATCTTTCAATGTTTTAGACTTAGTTCTTTCACCAACCTCGAGGTATACAAATACATCAAAAACATCATTCTGTGCACAACTGTAATTATCATGCAAATGTCTTCATAGTTGCAAAACTTTTTATTAGGGACCACTGTCATCACAGTCTTTCTTTAAAGTAGCAGCTACATAAAGATGACCCCACTCAGGTGAAATAGCATTGAGAAAGAAAAAATTAGCCCAGACTAAGAAAATTAAAATCTGCCCAGCTACATTCTAAGACATTTCACATCAGGCTAGAAAAATAGATAAATCCAACTTCAAGTTTATAAGGAAATATTTCTCCCCAGAACACAGTGCAGCAGTAAATTTCCTAAGAGCACTCCCTTTGAGTGACATTGTGTCTTACCTGCCAAGAAACTTCTCTAAAAACCAGGTTTTCAGAAACTGGTGTTTCAAAGCATCTCAGTAAGAATGAAGCATCTGACTCTTGTCTAAGGACCTAAATTACTTTGACATCGACAAGAAGCCTTAATTTCCAACTCAGTGCAGAGCTTCAGAGAAGGGTTTCTGAGTACAAGGGTCACATTTATCTTTGTTGTTTCCAAGATAAGAGAACACTGGTTCCCTTAGGCAGCCCACACCAGATAGTGACAACTTCACATTCAGCCCTGTTGTGCTTTGAGCCTTTCAAACACTCTGCTTTCATTTACATTTCACACAAACTCCACTCTTCCCCCAAACCCTCTACTATCTTTTCCTTTGTTTGGTGATACACCCCATGGATCCTCTTGTGTGTTGCAAGGAGTCATAAACCTGACTTTGTTGGACTGCTAGGTTAGCCCTCCTGGATAAGCCATTAGCTTAGATAGCATTCAAATTCAAATTATGGCTTACTTTACTGTTCCAGTATTTCTTATTCCAACCCTTCTGCAGACAAAGTAAGTTATGAACCTGTTTGGGGTTTAGAAAACTAAATGTTAACCTCATCCTCTCATGTCATACCTAGATGTCTATGGTTAACATTCCAACCAGGTTTATGTTCAACATTCTTAGATTTCTTCCTTGGTTTTGGTGCAACAAATCCATTTTTCAATTCCTAGGAATGAAAACATTGCATGTTAGTCTCTTAATTAGGTCCATTTTAGAATGTGAACATTAAGTCACATGGTAGAGGCAGTGTCATAGCGTATACTTCTTACTTGAAAGGATTTACAAAGTGGCTTCTGCCTCACCTTACTCTGGAAATACACAGCTTTGTATCTGAGCTGCTTGGCTGACAGCATAAGCCCCACCAGATCAAGTGGTCAAGATGAGAGGCAGGTAGCAGCACACGTAGGCAGGATGTTGCCATTATGGGAGTCTGATAATGACCAGGGAACTACCAAATCCAGGGAGCAAAGACAGGGTGGGGTCAGACCAAGATAGGCCTTACATACAGTACCTGCCCACATACAGTCCTTAACACTACTCTCTGGGCTTTCTTCTCCACGGACTCAGTCTCTTATGCTTGACCAAGCCTGTGCACCTGCTGACACATGTAGGCTCAGCCTCTGCTGGCTGGCCCAGATCCCTTCCCTGATCATACTTGAGCCCCACGTTCTACCGACACCCACTGCTTTGGTTCCACAGCCTCCCCTCTGGCCTCTGGATCACTGTTCGGCTGAAGGGACTCCCCAAAAAACTTTATGTCACCCCCAACATGACCTCTGTGACAGACTCTTTACTTGATTGCCTTCCCATGGGTTAGCCCATCTTCTGATCCTTGGATCTGTCTCACTGAGGCCCACAACACAGGGTCTGAAGTTTCAGAAGTCATTTTTAGATAGGTCTCATTCACTCTCCAAAGTGGGGCTTTGCAGCTGCTTGGGAATGAAGATTTCAACATAACAGGAAGCTATACCCACTGAGGGCTTCTCTACTAGTCTGGTGCATCTATTCAACAAATGTACACTCACCGCCCTCTCCTACCTGGCCCTGTGCAAGGAATTGAGTACGGCAGACGTACTCTCTGCCACCTTGAAGCTTACAGTGCAAGGGGATGATAGATAAGGAGCAAAGTAATCACATATTTACACCATTTTATAAAAGGAGAAGGCCTGGGTGCTAGGGGAGCAGTGATAGAATACATAAAACACAGTTTAGTTTGGCTGGAGTATATACAGGGGAGTCACAAAGCAAGAAAGGATGACTTAGGACAGAAAGTGATCCTTTGGGATGCCAGCCTAAAGGTTTGTTACTTCAATGGGTAAGGGGGAGTCACTGAGGACACTAGAACATGGGCAGTTCTAATAGTAGGAAAATCTACAGGCGGACCAAAGCGGGGAAATCAGCAAAGATACTTTGCAATGGTTGATAATGACCAGGGTTGTGGGCAGAATGACTGTGGTGATGAAATGAAAGGGAAGATGTGACCACTGAGAAAGGAGGAACCAAGAATGTGGTGACTATCTGAATGTATTATAGTTTCATTACTTACCTGCTTTGAAGAATCTTCGAGAATGTTTTCAACACTGTCTTCTGAAGAGGCCGCATTTGGTGGTTCATATTCCACCTGAAACATCTTTGTTACAATGCCACTCTGTCTGCAGTCTCTGAAAATTATTTTAAAAAGAAAAAGTCTGTGTATTACACAAATATTCCATAAAAGCCGGATAGCAATTAAGATAACTCTATTGAAGTCCCTTAGTCTAGCTACTAAATTTAGTATATTTTAAATTGAAGAAATCAAAATATAACTTCTATAGTCTTTCTTTACATTATTCTCATTTAGATGATCTATTGCTTTGTAATAAACTGCTCCAAAACATACTGTTTTAAAACAAATCTGTGAGTTAACCAGGCTCAGCTGGATAGCTCTTGTCTGCGATCTCTCATGTGATTGCAGTCAGATATTGGCTGGGCGGGAGTCAACTGAAAGGTCAACTTGGCTGGATGTCCCAAATGGTCTCTTCACTCATATTCACAGCCTAGGCTAGGATTTCAATTCTCATTCTCTCTCCCTCCCTCCTTC